ATGGAATGGTTGAAGCTCCACTTTTAAAACCAACCAACCAACCAACCAACAAACAGAAAATGCTGCACATGATAGAGACCATGCTGCCTAAGCAAGCTAGGTCCTTCAACCAACGTCTCTGAATTAGTCAGGCTTATGTTGCTGGAGGGAGGTTACTCATTCAGTCCAGAGGGAGGCCACCAGCTTATCTCTTGGTTCTTTGTATTAAGAACTCTGAACTTCTGTAGTAATTAGAGAAATGCAAATCAAAACTGCTCTAAGACTTCATCTCACTCCAGTCAGAATGGCAGTTATCAAGAATATAAACAATAATAAGTGTCGGCAAGGATGTGGGGGAAAAGGCACGCTCATACATTGCTGGTGGCGCTGCAAATTGGTACAACCACTACAGAAAACAGTATGGAGAATCCTTAGAAAATTTGGAATGGAACCACCATTTGACCCAGCTATCTCACTCATTATTCTATACCTAAAAGACTTAAAATCAGCATACTATAGCGACACAGCCTGTCAATGTTCATAGCAGTTCAATCCACAATAGCTAAACTGTGGAACCAACCTAGGTGCCCTTCAACAGATGAATAGATAAAGAAACTATGGTACATATACACAGTGAAATATTGCACAACATTAAAAGGAATAAAATCATGGCATTTGCAGATAAATGGATGGAGTTGCTAAGCGAAGTAAGCCAATCCTCCCAAAAACAAAGGTTGAATGTTCTCTCTGATAAGTGGATGCTGACCCATAATGGGGAGGAGACATTGGGATAGGAAAGATGGTGGAATGAGATGAACACCATTACCCTAGGTACATGAATGACTGCACATGTGGTGCGAATCTACATCATGTACAACCAGAAAAATATAAAGTTGTGCTTCATTTGTGTACAATGAATCAAGATGAATTCTGCTATCATGTATAACTAATTAGAATTTTTAAAAAACAACAACACGGAACTGAAACAGATCCCTACTATTCTCTATTACTTTCCAACAACCATAGTTTTCATGCTTAGCAGTGATTTCCATCAGCAAAGAGAAGGGTATTTCTCTTTGGAGTGGGGGGATGCTCAGTTTTCACTAACACAATTAAAAATTGAAAACACACACACTCATCAGCACTCAAAATAAGCCTCAGTGCAATTTACTAAACAATAGTAATAGCTCTAATCACCATCTCTAGGAGATGATAGGCACCTGGGATCCATATGTCTGGGACAATGCTACTAGTGGTGGAACTATTCACCCTCCATGTCAGGGTGTGTCTACATTACTCCTTGTAAAAGAAAGACATGCTGATCCTATGGGACAGAGGACTGGGTAGCAGCTGATGGTTTAGGGAACTCAAAGGAAATTGCTGTGGAGAGAGTTTTCGATAAGCTGGATTTATGCTGATTCAGAAAACTTGTCTCAGAAAAGAGCAGTGGGGCCATCTGGACTTTGTGTGCAATAGTRACTGTGAAGTATACAGTTCTAAGAGCCACTAGACCTGCTCTTGAGATGAACCATGCTGGGGAAAGCAAAAACAAAAACAGGAAAATACTCCCAGTGTTCTTTAGTGTGACTGCAGTTAGAATGAATACTATGAGGTCAAGACCCAAATCTTTGCCCTTCCCCAGCAGGTCAGATTTTCAGTAGTCACTTTCCCCAAATTTCCTAAGACATTTTGATTTTGCTTACAGTAGGAAAAGTTTGTGTAACTGTAGGTCCTACACATAGGATGGAATGATTCCTTCTCTTGCTTTTCTCAATGCAATGCCTCCCTTTCCAGAGACATCCAGTATCTTTTTTTTTTTTTTTTTCATGACATTTGCAGAGAGCAATGGACGACAGCACAGAATCAGATCAGGGCAAAGTGGAGAAATAAAAGGATGAACACAGGAGGCAGACCCTGGGAATGTCACAAGGGAGTGCAGGTTTGAGTTGCCTGAGGGGCCTAGAAAGGTCAGAGAGCTCCTCTCTTGCTCCTTTAGGTCAAGAGGAATATAACTTTTAGGATTTAGATTGGATAATCCTTAGAAGGCTCCAGAAGTCACTTCTAGTTGAGGTGCTGGATTATTTCACAACCAATAAACCTAAAAAGAGAATTTCTCCCACAAATTTTAATGACACATCTGATAACACTCAAAAAGAAAAAAAGAAGAATTAAAGTCAGTCGTGAAGTCAGACTTAAACATTCTGACTCTGTATATAATGTTGTTTAAAATAATTTTCAAAGGCTAGTTAGCTGTTAGCATGTCTATTTCTCACTTAGACTTATTTCACTGGAATTTCTCCGGAAATTACATTTCTCCTTTATTTTTGGAGGACATATTTACTCATGCAAAAATATCATAGAACAAAGGTTTAAAGTGTAAATTACACCATCCCATTTTCAGTCATCAGGTTAAATGCAATAAGGGATAAGTAGATGTTTTTAAGGGATAAGAATATGGCTTGTAGGATACATGTGAACAGAACTATACCATTCTGCATAACACACACACATACAGGCATAAACAACGTGAGCACAGGTGGTATTTTTTTTTGTAGCAAAGTCAATAGTGATCTTTGAAGGTGAGTTCACCACTTACTTAAAGACTAAAGTAGCCTAACACATTCCCTGAATAGTTTTCCTGAACTTTCCACTCTTTATCACAAAGTAACCTCACTTTTTCATCCATTCAGCAAGGTTGATCCAAGAATCTTTTCTTTGATAACTATTGCATATCTATTCCACAAAGCTTTTGCCCAAGTTCCAGCATCCAAGCAAGAACTTATTTTTTGTCTTTTTCTCTGACCTCAGGCTGTAACTTTGCCGTGACAATTAAAGTGACACTGTATACATCTGGGATGTCTTTCTCCTGGATTAGGAAATCAGCAACTCACTGAACCTCAAGGGGTCTCAGTTTCCCCAATGACAAGATCATACTAATGGCACTAGCCACCTGCCAGGCTATCAAGGGACTTGGCAACCATGTCTACAAATTACAAAGAGGCTCTGGGCTATAAATAACAAGTCTTATTAATAAAATTAGTTCAGGACAAATGCCAAAAAAGAATATAGCAATAGCAGCACAAATCACACTTGATCAGAACAAAAGAGGGTGGAGAGATTTTCTGATTCTCATTCCTACTAAAACTATCCCATTTTAATGCAAGGAGAAGTTTTGGGTTTTGTTGTTTGTATGTTTGTTGTAAAAGACAACACACAACTTTGCACATTAGGCATTACTTCTTTTCGAGTTATGTGGACACAACTTTCCATTTATTGCTGGACAATGTAATGTGGGTTTCAAAGCATGTCCAAATATTGCCCCCAATTAAGTTAATTGTATCTATGTAACCTCTGAGGATTAAATGGATTCTAATCTAATTGCCTCAGGACCCTCATTCTTCTTGTGCTATAGACAAACCCAAACTTCACTGGCAGCAGAATGGATCCCTCTGCCAACAGAAAACAATGTCCAAGTTGGCTCATCTCCTGATACTTGAGGTTGCAAAAGACAAGTAACACTTCAGAATCAAAACCAGATTTCTGCTGATCTGAGGCTCTGTCTGGTCTATGGGGGCCAAACACTATGAATGGGCTTGATGCAATTTAAAGACTAGAAACAAAACAATGAAATGTGTTCCCTTCTCACATCCCCTCCCCCAAAAAAGCATTTTGCTGCACACTTTGGGGATGACATACATAGCAAAATTCCATGAAGTCTAAGAGACAGATTATTGCATCGAACTCCTGAAGTACTTTCTCCATTCCGTAGTAGCTGCCCTGAATGAAATCAGCAGTTTCAATAGAGCTCTCTGACTGGTGCTTTCCCACATATCAATCACAGGTTTGGAAAAGGAGGAGACTTAYGGATGCAGAGGTGGAAGCGGGTAAGGAGCAGTTGAACTCTCAAGCAGGTAAATGCAGATGTCAATCCAAAATTGAATATGGACCTGCTCAAATTTAGAAATGTGCCTATCTGGATTTTTCTGAGAATCCCTCTCATCAGAATCTGTGAGGATTCAAACTGAAATTGGCCTGAAACGACAGCCTCAGCCTCTGTTGGGATGTTCCATTCATAGGGGAGGCAGAGCCTCATCCATTCATGGTGGGGTCAGGGAGTCCTTTACCAGCATTGGATCTAGTCTCTGCAAGCTGCGCTTCCCAGGGGGCTGGCATGGCTGCATCATTCAGAACCAGGGTGTCTATTAAGGAGCCACCACCAGAGCTATTGTTAGAACAGCCATTCCTTAGAAATTTTGCAGAATTTGTCTGAATTCACTGAGCAGTTACTCTGCTACAAGGGATTGGAGAAAGGCACCGAGTTGCTGGATTACACACAGGCAGCCCCCACGGCTTTCAAAGTGCAGGACTGGGTAATCTTTTCTGAATTCAACGTGCACCAACATCTGGGCGGCTGCCTACAATACTGAAGCACTGCCACAAGCCATTTCTGAATGAACAGGTACTAAAGGGGATTCCCGCCTGTTCTCCTCCCCTTCCCAGTTCCCGGTTTTCTCTGCATCAAACTTGCTGCAGCCATCTGGAATGGAAAAGAACAGTCCATCTTAGCAGACTCCAGCAGTCCATGCTCAGATGCCGGCCTCTGAGCCACCTTGTCTAAAGCGTTCTCCCTGGCACCGAAAGGACAAGAGTCCCCAGTCATGTCCTGAAAATGCGGCGCTTTTAAATACATACATACATACATAAATGGAATCCCACCTATATCTGCTTACTGCTATGTCTTGTCTTTTCTCCCTTGGCAAAATCAGATAGTGTGGGACTGCGGTGCCAAAGGAAAGTGTGAGTGTAGGGGGGAAGGGTAGCAGAAGGGAGTATAGTATGTGCCCCACGTGGGGCTTGCATTTTAAAAATGTAACATACCCGAATAAAAGACGCTAAACCTCCAGTAAAGAAGTGGCACGTCCCTGTGGCCCAGCTCAGCAAGAAAAAAAAAAATGGAAAGAGAAGTGCTGCATAATCAATCGCCCCCCTGCCATCGCGACTGGGAAACAAAGACACATTACCTTTTATTTTTTGCGCTTCCAAGAGAGCCGAGGAACTTCGGGTCGGAAGCGGCTGTTCCACAGAAACCGGCGTCCCATTCGCCCCGGGGTGCAGGCCCGTGGCCTACCAGGCGGCCTCCGCGCCCGGCGCCGCCTCCTCCTCCTCCTCCTCTACGGCGCCCGCAGCCGCCCCGCCGGTGCTGGCGCGCCCGGTCCCCGCCCCCGCCGCCACCCCAGCCCCCGCCGCCGCCCGCCGCGGGCCCTTGGTCAGCCCATAGCCCGCTCGCTCCTCTCACGCCGAGCCTGGCCGCGCGCCAGGGCGCACCGCCGCCGGCCCGCCCCTCTCCSGGCCCGCCGCATGCTGCCCCGAGCTCCGGGCCGAGGCCGGCGGGCCGCCAGGTCGTGCGCAAGGCAGGGACCGCGCCCGCCGCAGGGCCTCGGAGCGCAGCCGGATCTCGGGACAACAATGAGCGCCCCGGCGCCCGCGCCCTGCCAAGAMGGGGACGTCCAACTCGCCCCCCGAGCTGGCTCAGCCTCCCAGCTCCTCTCCGCTACACCCGCAAGGCGAGACAAAGTTAGCTCCCGACCTAAGAGGCTGAGCGCATCGAAAGCGCGCGGAGATGCTGAGGACGCCGATCCCCAACCCGAGGCCCCCTCCCCCACGCCCCACGAAAATTCACCGTGCCGGGGCCCGCGCCTACCCTGCAGCCCGGAGAAGGCGGCTCCCTTGGCTGAAGGCGCAGCTCTTACCCCTCGATCTAGTCCAGTTGTCTTGGATTTTAATCTCCCCTCAACTCTTTGGTAATGGAAGTTGCTGCAAGAGAACCTAGTCATGGGGCTATTGTCAAGGATTCACGACATGCCCGGGAAAGGGAGACTTCCATTTCAAGAGACCTGGGGGAGGGAAAGGGACTGGCATGTCCTCTTAACAGAAAAAGAGAAAAGGAACTGTGATGAGGTCCCCACCAAGAACAATAACTCAATTCACACTGTATGTCTAAATGTTTATTGCTTAAGGATCTCAATTTGCTTTAGACGACTTTTTTTTTTTTTCATGAATTGTCAAAAGACAGTTGATAAAGGGGGAAGGAGGTACCCAAGCACCCACTTAGCAAAAGCCAACCTGTTTTGGGGGTGGGGATCTCTCCTGAGAACCCCTGGTCTCTAAAATTCCCAGCATGTGTCCGATCCACACTTCAGGCTGGTGGTAGATTTTTGAACCCATCATGTGGAAGGAGACTCTAGTAGGTCTGGTACCTTTATTCTCTGGACATAGGCAGGCAGTGAAGACTTAGAAACTATCATGAAAAGAAATCTCACACATCCTCTCTTTTGGATGGCTGGATATTAACCTTTACAGATGCTGGTCTTGTATTCTATTCTATTCTAGAGATGACTGGTGAGAATTCCTGACAATTCAAGGGATCTCAAAACCAATAAAAGAGAAATTGCACAGTTCTCACTGTTGGGGAGAAAAAAAAGTGAATACCAGCATTAAGGGCTGATCATATTTCAGGCTGTTCTGATCACACACTCAAGACCGGGGACTTGACTCAACCGTCTAAAGCTAATTAATGGAAGCTGAGTTTAAATCGGATTTTTCTGTACTTTTGGAGTCCTTGAGGATGGTTCTAATGCAAAGACTGATTTGTTCACAAGGTGATTGAAGCCCATCTCCTTGTGTTCTGGGATCTTCTGAGGGATTATTATTATTATTATTATTATTCTTTTTTTTTTTTTTGCTTTTGGTGCTGGAGATTGATCCCAAGGCCTCACACATGCTAAAAGGGAATATTATTTCACCAGATGCAGACTATTTCCAGTTCTGATTTGTTTTGATTACAACACTGAGGAAATGTCCAGGCCTATTAAATTTCTCTTTGAATATTTAGTTCCCATCATTAGGAGAGTCAGACTCCATCTACCTCTACCAGGGGCTTGACTGTTGTAGTTTTCAATATGTCATAAACTGCCCCCTGCTGCAGCAAACACCCCTCACCCCAAAGCCAGAATCAGGGACAGAAGTCTCTCATCTATTTCCTTTCTCTCATTCATTATGTTCATTGATCAACAAACCTGAACTCACAGATCTCTCTTAGTAGTTTCTGGAGAGCAGTCCCTTGTCTGACTTAATCCAACAGTGCCTGGTCTTGAATGAGTAATGGCTGTACCCTGCCTTCTGTACTCCATATCGCCTGTCACCCACGTCACAAGCAGCCTCATGAACAGCTCCCACCCATCTGGTCTCCCACATGCATGCTCCATACCAATTTGCAATAACTCTTCTAAAACTTAGATCAGGTCCTTGTAACTTCTGTGCTTAAATTCCCTCTCAGGGCTTCCCTGTCTCTTAGGAAAAAAGACTCCACTCCTTTTCCTGGGCTCGAGGATCAGGCACCCTTTGACCCATCAGCCTTATCTTTTGCTACCTGACCCCACCAGAGTCCCTACTTTCCTCTTCCAGATCCTGCAGGTCCCCATATATGCTTGGTGCTCATTCATCCCCTTGCCACCCAGCAGCCAGGACTTTAGAAATCATCCTGGGTCATGTCACAACTCTGCTTAAGGACTGTGATGGCTTCCTACTGCTCTCAACCATGGTCTCCATTTTCCCATATTATTGCTCCTCCACCCCCACTGCTTTGTCACACAAGCTGCCTTGCCCTTGGACCTCTCTTGCCCTCTCTTGACTTTCCCATTTCCTGGTCCTCCTGCTGAGAAGGTCCATCCACTCTGCCCATGCCATGCATGCATGGCTGGATCTTTGTCATCGTCCAGGTCTCGGCTCCACACTGCCTCCGGGATGACCTTTCCTGGGCAGTGGCCTCCTTGAGGTGCTCTTGGCAGCAGCATCCTGTTCATTCCCCTCTTAGCACTTGCCACACTCCAGAATGTGCCACCTGGAAATATAATTCTCTCATTTCTTTGACATATTTTGAAATAGCAATTCAGGGAAGCTGCAGAGGGCTGCAAAGCTGCCCATTTATAAGAGAAATTCACATCTGTCTGCATTAGTGGGGTGGACAGCAGATGCCAAGGGAGGCTTTGTTGCTAAAACTGTTTCCTGGCAAGAAATCACAGGAAGAAAGAGGTCAGAGATCTCTCCAGGCAGATAGTCTACCCCAGGCTACCAGCTATTCTGTGGACTGCTACTTGAGACCTAACGTGCATGACCAGACAGCCCTGACTTGCCTCCGCCTTCCCTGCCTTAACCCGTGGCCWCCTTCCTCCAAGAACCCCACATTTCTTTCCATGCAGTATGTAAACTTCAGCAATCCAGCCCTCCTTTGAGTTTCACACTGTATGATTATATCTCCTGTGTATGGATACATAATAAAATTTGTATGTCTTTTTCCTGTTAATCTGTTTATTGACAGTTTATTAGACTTAAATTGATCTAAACTTGTAGGGAACAGAGAAAAATTAAAATTTCCCTACACATCAAATGATGGGTTTTGTTCATGGCCTTGTGTTAAAGACAGATCATTGCCAGATTGCTTGTGTTTGAATTTTGCCTCTCTGTCACCTACTAGCTGTTCAACTTCAGACAAGTTTCTTAACCTCTCTGTGTCTGTTTTTCCTCTAAATGGGGGTAATAGTACTGCCTACCTCTGAGTGTTGTTAGGAGGAGTATATAAATTTGTGTATGCAAAGCACTTAGAACAGGGCCTGGCAATGTAAGCATAAGCTCTGTGATGGTCTTTATCTGGCCTGGTCTCACTGTTTCTCTGTGGGCTGGACTAACACCTGACATGAGATCTCTTTACCACTAGTCTTTTGTGCTTGAAGGATGGATGGGGAATGGATAAGAATGTGGGAAGAAACACTGTATTTGAAAATGTTGAAGTCCTAAGAGAAATTTTATTTAAATGAAATGAAATTCAAACTAGGGTTACCTGAAAGGTAGTAAAAACATGAAAAAAAAATTMTCTGTTTTGCTTGTGTTTATCCTTGGAATTGACAGATAGAAAGCTTTGCCACTTAAAACTCTGTAATGGTCTGTTCCCCAAAGAGTAGCCAATTCCACCAGCAAGACCCAGGGCCTTCCTTGCAAAGTCACATTTAAAATGGGCTTACTAATAGCATTTATCTTCAACCTTAGGAGCACTTTGGGTCCAACACATATTCTTATTTCTTTCCAAAGCCGTGCACCGGATATAACAGTGGGGGTCTAGGAGTGTAGCTCAGAGTTAGGGCATGCGGCTGGAACACGTGACAACCTGGGATTAATCCCCAGCACCAAAAATAAAATAAAAATAAATAGCTAACGGTACTATTTAGTACTGTACCAGGCACAGTGCCAAGAACTTTCCAAACATGAGTTAATTCAATCATCACAGGATTCATGGAGACGAAAACTGYTCTATCCCTCTTCTACAGATAAGGAACCAGGGGCTTAAAGAGATGCAGCAATGTGCCTGGGGTGCCTCTGCTACTCGTATCTGAACCCAGGCCAACTTTTTGAGACAAGCTCTTATCATCCACACTGGACTGTTACCTATCCTCATAATGAAATATATCAGAATCACAGATCTCCTTTATAGACACTATTAATTACAGCTTGAACCATGGATGGTGTTAAATGGCACCCGGCAGTTGATTGGCACATCTGGCCTCATGGGTTCCTAACAGTACATGTGGATACAACATTACCTTCCAGTTTCTGCATTTCTAGAGAATAATGAGGGCCCCTTTTCCTTTCATATTTCAACCAGGTTTCAAGGATAGAGAAAGACCCCTCTGGGGCAGGTTAAAGTGCTTGGTGGGTTTCAAGTGAAGCCTATTATATTTTTTAATACCCAATCCTTTTTCTTCTCACTTCCAGGTCAATTAAAGGCCAATTCTGAACCACTTCAATCTAAAAGAAAGAATTCCATCTCCTCTCATGGTCTGTGATCAAGTGCTTAAAACCGTGGTCCCTGGGGTATATGAAGAATTATCTAATAGCTGTGTTTTATTTCATTATTTTTAAAAATAGTGATGTCATTTTTAATAGCTATGTTTTATAATCCTGTGTTCTCATGACATTAGATAGATGCTTATTATTTTTTTCCTGGTTGGGAATCAGAGTTTAGAGGTCCTCGACTCATGGCAACAAGAATCCAGGGCAGGTCTTTCTGAAACACAGATGAGAATCAATC